TGTGTGTGTGTGTGTGTGTGTGTGTGTGTGTGTGTGTGTGTGTGTGTGTATAGACAATACAGATATAGATATATCCTAGAAATCTGGCTTAGTTCACACACAGCAAGAAGGCGTTGGGACCATATAAGTGTCAAAATGGAGTGCTCAAAACAAGGGAGAGAAGTAGTTTCTAAATTTACAAGAAGTCTAAATTACTCAAGGTCAAGACCGTGTACATCACATAGAATAAACCAGTGTGGTACATACCCGTTATCCCAGCACTTGTGAAGCAAAGACCAGAGTATTTTCAGTTTGAGGTCATTGGGGTTACAGAACGAGACCCTGTCTCTAAACTAGGTAGAGGAAGAGGGAGGAAGGGAGTTAAGGGGAAGCATGCAGGTAAACTCAGGGGCAACAGTGAACAGAATGGGTCAGAGGAAGTACCACTGCCTCTGGGGAAGGTGGGGCACACGAGTGACCACTTCCTTTGATGGTCAAGGTGTTGCTGGTGATGCTGGGTTGTATCCCCCTGTAAGGAGCGCTGCAATGAACTGTTCTGTGACCTGAGGAGACTCTGACCATATCGTCTTCTGTCTTCAGGAATAGATAACCTCTATGAGAGGGCGCTCCACATCCGCAAACTCCTCCTGACCTTGCCCAGGTCGGTCCTTATAGTGATGAGATACCTGTTTGCCTTCCTCAATCAGTAAGTACACCTCCGTGTTCTGCCAAAAAGCCCATCTGTATCCTGTCTGTGTTCCTGGATCCTGTAAAATGTGTACTGGGTTCCATTCATCAGCAGAGTCTATGGGAAAGTGATTGAGTCCTGACTGAGGGAACATTTTTTTTTTTTCCTCCAGAGATCAAGGTCTTTCTATGATGCGTGAATAGTCTACTCCAGATAAAGAAAGTGTGGCTAGTCATAAATGTAAAGTATCCAAAATACTACTATAAAGAACACTTTTTAGTGAAATATGTGTTTTTCCAACTTCTATCCAGGGCTCATGTAGTAAGTGTTTTTTGTCAAAATGATGTAAACCACCTTCTCCCAGCCCAAAAAAAAAAAAAAAAAAAAAAAAATCTGTCACTTTTTTTAGACATTGTAGTAGATGGAGGGGAATTGTAGATGACTTAGACATCAAATCCAAAAGTAGAATTTTCACAGATTAACCGGATGAGACCTTGTCAAGAAGAAAATAGACATGCTACACTCTCTACTACAACACAGCAGGAAGGTTTTAAAGTCACTACATGGTTTTCAAAGAAACTTAACTTTTGAGAGGGCAACTTTGTTTCCAGTTTGCTGGCTGATGCATGGGTTCCAGTGTAGACACACCTCCCCATATCCCGTCTAAAGGTCTTTCAGTTAAGCACTAGTTCATGATTTCAGCCGTTTGGACGGAAGTGCTACCTTAAAAGAGCATGGACTGTAACTACATTAAACAGGTGCCGCCCATGCTATCGTTGACTAAGCCTGGTCACCCAGGCAGTTACCGGAGCCAAAGTGCTGTTCTCACTGTGAGCCAGCGACCCACAATGCCCTAAAGCAGTGTCCAACCAAAAATGTCATCGAAGCCTGAACGTAACGCTTCATGGCAATGAATGGCAAACACCTCATGAGCCAGGCAGCTGGTGCTGCCTTTTAGGGGTTCTGCCCAAAGATGCCTCCACTCACCTGCAGGGAAAGATGATGGCCCCACCTCAGCCCAAGATGCTAGACACAGGAATCCTAAAAAGAGAGATTAGCTGTTCTTTTTTGCTGTAAAATCAAAAGTTAGAAATCATCTTTTTTTTTTTAATCAAGTTTATGTTCTTCAAGCCAGGAGAAAATAAAGACCTAGAAGGACTGAACCTGAACCTTCCCGCTGAGCCCGGGTGTGGATTTTGAAATTTGGTGGTTTTTATTCTGAATCTCACTTCTCCGCTCAGTTGCCTGGTGGCATTGTGTGAAGGCTTTTTTTTTTGAGGGGGGGGGATTGTATAGTTGAGAAATGTCAGAAGGGAAGGACATATGGCAGCTGTGGAGAGTGCTCTTACATTGTCTACTCTCTTGGCTATTTTGTCTCCACTTGGGAGCTCAAGGGCCACTTCAGGTTGTGTCCTGGCCACTCTGCGTCTGTCACTGTCTCACAAAAGCAGCTGAGGGTTCTTTTTCCTTCCACTTGTCTGCTCATCTGCCGTTTACATTGCCTTTTGTGGCTGACATTCTATACACTGAGAGAGGATGCCTCAGAACTCTCCAAAGAATTGCAGATTGCCTGCTCGGTTAGAGACCAGACATTAAAGGGCAGGCTCGCTTAGAGTGGCCTGTGACGTGGTTTCATAAATATCTATAATATCGAGTTTAGAAATTAGTAGCAGACAGTCAAGGGTGCCCCCAGAGCTTTCCCACCTTAAATGCAATAATAAAAGGGTTAAGGATTTCCTCCTTTGTCTCGTGCTTCGCCTTTTGTGGCAAGGGTTGGCACCTAGTGGTGATAAGCACAAAGTAGCAGATTATTAACCTACAGTTGTGCTTCGCCTCCTCAAAGAAAGGATGTTTTGCTTTTATTCTAGTTTCTTTTTTCATAATTTTTGGGGGTGGGGAATAAAAACTAAGATAGCGTTGAATGATAGGGTAAATTTAAAGATATAACCCTAAGGCTTTATGGGGGTTGTACTGTAGAGATTCACAGGTTTGCTGCATTTATGAGCCTCTCCTCAATTTACAAATGGAAGTCATCTGCTCGGTCCTTATCTCTATCATGGTTGATGCCATTTTAAATTCACGACTTTAGGAAACGCCTCTCACTCACCCAAAGGGGATGAGTGTTCCTCTCATATCCTAGCTAGCTAAGCATAGTCTTCTTACTCTGAGGGTTCGAGGGGTCAGCTCTAAGTGGAATGGGTATCATGTTTTTCTCTAATGATAAAAGACAAATAAAATTGTATAATCCATATTTTCAAAATATGCAGTCAGGGCGCTGGAGAGGGCTGGTGGTCAGAATGTGCACTAGTCTTCTGAAGGATGAGTTCAGATCTAATGCCTACCTCAGATGGCTGACAGTCACCTATAACTCCAGCTGCAGGGGACCTGACACCCCTTCTGTCTTCCACAGGGCACCTGCACTCTAATGTGGACACACATACAAACACACACGCACACACATACACACTGTTTTTAGCAAAATAAATTCAAAACATAACTAGTTGGTGGTGGCACGCACCTTGAATCCCAGCACTGTGGATGCAGGAGGTCAGCCTGGTCTACAGAGCCAGTTCTAGAATAGCCAGGGCTTCGTAAAGAAATGGAGTCTCAAAAAAAAAAAAAATCAGGATACTTAGAATCTGCTTAAGCACTTTGTTTCCCTGAACCGGCTGTTACATTGTTTCACTGCCGGCTGTTACATTGTTTCCCCAAAGCGTCCATTCCGAGCTCTTCCCCCTTCTTTTTACAGCCTCTCCCAGTACAGTGATGAGAATATGATGGATCCTTACAACCTGGCCATCTGCTTCGGCCCAACACTGATGCCGGTTCCGGAAATACAGGACCAAGTGTCTTGCCAGGCACATGTGAATGAAATTGTGAAGACCATCATTATCCATCACGAGACAATTTTCCCAGATGCTAAAGAACTGGATGGCCCTGTGTATGAGAAGTGTATGGCTGGAGGCGACTACTGGTGAGTCCAAGAATTGTGCTCTCCCTCTCAGGGACACAGAGTTCCTGACTGAATTAGAAAAGTGAGCTACCCAGGACCGGGGAATTTAAAGTGCATACTGCTGGACCATGAGGACCTGAGTTCAGATCCCAGCACCCAGTAAACGTGAGGTACAACTTTGTCTGCCTAAAACAGTGTGTGCCTGTAACCCCAGTGCCAAGATAAGAGGATGCCAGCAGCTCACTGGACATCCAGCCTCTGCAAACAGTGACCTCCAGATTCAGTTAGAGAAAGACTGCTCAAGAAATAAGGGAGGAACAATCCAGTAAGACAATGGTCTCAGGCTCTAGCTTCTTCATGCACAGACATGAGCCAGTACTCCAGTATACACCACGAACACACACACACACCAGCATACACATGCATACACCACACACACACATGCACACACCAGCATACACATGCACACACCAGCATACACATGCATACACCACACACACACACACCTGCATACACCACACACACACACCTGCATACACCACACACACACACACAGCATACACATGCATACACCACACACAAACACACATACCCCAGCATACACATGCATACACCACACATACACCTGCATATACCACACACACACACACACACACCTGCATACACATGCATATACCCCACACACAAACACACCAGCATACCCATGCATAAACCACACACATACACCAGCATACACATGCCTACATCACACACACACATGCACACACCAGCATGCACATGCATACACCACACACACACAAATAAATAAAATTAACTGCCCATGAACTACGAAAGCTTTTAATTTTTAAAAAGGAAAAACAGACAAAGGAAGAGAAAGTAACGCGAGCCTTTCAGGTAAGTTTAGAACGGTGACATTCATGGCAATGAGGGCTTTATTGTGAAGGCACATTGCTTGTCTCCTCTTTTCTAGATAACTCTGACCCCTCTGAGCCTCTGTAAACAATTTGAGTTTGGCCTTTTAAGGGTTTGTTTATATCAGGGTGTGTATCATACACTGGCCAGCTGGTCCATGTGGTGGGTTCCAGGGCTACCTGGAGGGATCTGTCTGAGAGTGGGGGGTTGGGGGGCAGGGGGAGAGGGAGGAGAGCAGGGAGGGAGGGAGAATAGGGTTTTGCTGCCAGAGAGACAGACAGACAGACACAGACAGAAACACAGAGAGAGAAAGAGACAGAAAGGGAGAGATTAATTTTTACCACTATTCTAAATCAAGAAAAGATGACTAACCAATTAAGAGACTTCATTTCCATTCTTGGGTTTTATTTCGGTCTGGGTTTTGGTTTATCCAATGCTGGAGATCAAACGCCTTGTGCACTTGCAAATAGTCTGGCACTGATCTGTGTGTTCCCAGCCTAATCAGATAGCCTTATTATCTGATTGTTATTAGACAAGTTTCTTAACATTCTCTTTTTGCAAGAGCCTTCTCAATCAAATACATTTTTTATTCTTTTTTTTTTTCATTTTCTCTCCTACAATATGAAAGTAGTTTATGAGCAAATTTATATTGATATGTTTTGAGACTAAAAAATTTTAACATAGTATCACTTCATAGCCAAGTAACACAAGCGAGAGCCAATTGAGAGTAATCCTAAAGGCAGAAATCATAAAATGTCTGTGCTCGTTATTCGGTATTTGATATGTATGCTTCAGCCACTTCTCTGTAGATTTACAGAGAAATAACAAAATAAATAACAAAATAACAAAAATAATAAATAACAAAAGAAGTCTCGAATCCTTGAGGCCCTCGCTTGTGTCAGTAATTTATTTATCATGAATATTCTTCAAAATAACTTGAGAGGTCAGTAAGTACACCCAAAGGTTAGCATTTAATATTACTATTATTTAATAGTAACTGGGAGCAGCCCAGATACCTGAGTCTACTTTCTGTTGCTCTGACAGAATACCGCTGACTGGGTAGTTTAGCAAGAAGAGAACTCCTCACAGTTACAGAGGCCGGAAGGTCTCCTGTGAAGGCCTCTGGTGAGGACCTCCCTTCTCCCTAACGAGGTCAGGGATCAGATGGCGAGAATAAGACACAGGCGTGCACGCCCAGATCTCTGTGGTCCTCCTGTGGCTTTGGTCTCCTTAACTTCCTCACTAGGCGACACCTGCTAACATCATCCACACGGGGCTTTGGGAATCCTAATTCCAACACAGGAATTTTTGGAAACCTAGTGAAACCATAACACCAGACCATCTGATTCCAGAGCGTGTGAGCCTTCTCAGGCTTGCTCTTGCAGGGGCAGTGTCTGATGGATTCTTTAGTCTGCACCCTTCTCAGGAGACCGCTGAGACCATCCACAGGCCAAGTCGATGTGGAGAAAGCTCCTAAGAGATTTTTTTGAAAACCCTTCTTTTCCACACTTAAATCGTACACAGTGTGGTAGTTAAGAAAGCTGGGTGTAGCTGTTCCCACATGTCCTGCTTTCAGAATCCGGAGCCAGGCATGCTCTCTTGCAGTTCTGGGCTGCAGCGGCAATGTTACATGTGAAATTCAATTCAGCAGTATTGACTTGAGTATGTATATGACAAGTACCAACTAAATTCTTCCTCTGGGAGAGTAAGCGAATAAACTCCATCATGCTGAGATACATAACTTCATTTCACAGACATATTTACTTTAAATAACGTCATGTCACAGTCATATTTACTTTGAGGCCACTGTCGGAGCTATACTCAGCACTCCCAAATGTAGGGCCAGGTGAGTAAAATCTACTGTCCTCTTTAATACAACAAAGAGAAGTAGGCAGTGGTGGCACACGCCTTTAATCCCAACACTTGGGAGGCAGGCGGGTCTCTAGGTTTGGGGTTAGCCTGGTCTACAGAGTGAGTTCTAGGACAGCCAGGGCTATACCCTGTCTTGAAACACTGTCTGGAAGACAAACAATCACAATAACAAAGACAAAGTATGTAGATATGTAGTGAGTGTGTGCATTTTTCCAAAACGGCCTGTGAGATAATAGCCTTGTAGCTAGTAGCATGGACTGAAGAATGTTCTGCTTATAATGTTTCTATGAGAGTATCTGGTGTGTGTGTGTGTGTGTGTGTGTGTGTGTGCACGCGTGTGTGTGCATGCATGTGTGTGTTGTGTGTTTTATGTGTGTGTGTGCATGCTGTGTTCTCTGTGTGTTGTATGTGTGTGTTGTTGTGTGTGTGCTGTATCTGTATGTAACTGACTCTGGGACTAGGCTGGCAAGCAGCAAGCCCCATCTATCTTCCTGTCACCGGGATACAGGAACACAGAGCCATGGCCAGGCTTGTTAGGCTGCTAGGGACTCACACTCCAGGCCTCATGTTAGTTCACTGATCCATCTCCCAAGCCATGCATCACCCAGTCAGTAATACAGCAGTTACCCTTGTGCCCCTCCGACTCTGTAAATGGGGTTTTAGAGTAATAACAGGTTGGTATTTGTGGTCAAAACCTTCTGTTAGCAAACACCTGAAGGCAGATAGTGGTGGGTAATGTTAAAATTGCAAAAACCAGGATAATAAAAAACATGATTCTCATCTAGAAATGAGTGCATGTCAAGAGAGGATACAAAAGATCCTCTCTTTTCTACTGTCACCTCACAGAAGTCAGAGAATTCTCAACACGTATTTCGATAAAAACGGTGAATTGCATTCACCAAGATTTCCGTCTGTAGAGCAATAATTAAACGTTCTGAAGTCAACTAATCTGCATTTACTTAAATAAGAATTATCTGTAGTGCTTTTGGTTTCCTGTAAGTAAACTTGTCAGAAGACTGTAAAAGATGAATGCATACATACACATGTACAGACACATATATGTACACACATGTATATATACATGTGCATCATGGGTACACAGACACACACACACAAAATTTACTTTTCCTGTTGCTGAGGTAAAACATCCCAACAAAAGCAACTTGTGGGTAGAAGTTACTTCTTCTGCCTCCTTCATGGTTCCAGAGTAGGGTCCATCATGGCAGCAGCATGGCCCGAGACAGGTGGTCGGACAATTGGGAATCACAGGGATCCATCTCTGTGGATGTAGTGTTCAGCTAGCTTTCTCCTTTTGTGTGGTCCTGGACTCCACCGTCAGCATCAACTGATGCTGTTGCTATAGTGACCATCATACACATACGTGTCCATATGCACAGCCATAGACCCAGATAATTAGTGGAGGCAAAGGCATTTTGTGGTCAGATACCCAGGATTGGTTTTGTTAGAAGTCTTGCGGGTTTCCTTGCTATGGGAATTACTCCCTTAAAAAAAAAAAAAACAAGACTCTTTGGGTTCCTATACATTTCTGTTTCCACCCAACAGTGACAGCCCATACAGTGAGCATGGTACACTGGAGGAGGTGGACCAAGACGCCGGCACAGAGCCCCATACCAGTGAAGACGGTAAGTCCCGGGCTAAGTCCCAGGCTGGCACTACTACTGTCTGTTGCTTTTGGTTTTGTTTTTTTTGTTTTTTTTTTTTTTTCTTAACAATAGAGTTCCCAGGCTTCTTTTGTTTTCTTGTCTTTCAGCATGCTGTTTGTCTTTTCTTGTGTCAAATCTAAGAACTGGGTATATATGCTTTAAAAATGCCCTCTCTGCTCCAAGGCTCTTCTTTCCCTGTGCTTGTTTTAAAGCAGCCGAGTTTATCCATCTTTCTGTCGTGTTTTTTTTCTCTCTTGGTCAACTTTAAGAAACCCTGCTGAACCCCGAGAGAAGGAAGGTAGTCTCCTGTGTCCTTTCCTCGTTCTACCTCTTAATGCTTAGAACAGACTTCCCTCCTCACCCTTGTTAAGATACCTTATACGGTGTTATGACCACGGGTCTGGCTCTGCGCACCAGGTCTCTAGAGCATGTCCACTTTGCCTGACTGAAACCATAATTCCTACGGACTGGTAACTCCCCAAGCCTTCCAGCCCTTGGCAACCTCCATCCCTTTGACTCTTATGAAGTTGACCATTTTAGGCTCTTGTTGAAAGCAGAGCCATGCAATCTATAGCTTACGTCAGGCAGGACAGCTGACCCTTGCATGTGTATGTCCCACTTGGACCTATCCGACTTCCTCTGGGACCCACTTCCACATCTTCCCTAACAACTGGTACTGTGGGGACCATCCCTAAGAGTGTCTTTCCTTGTGACTCCAATTTCAGTTCTTTTGGATCAGCATGTGAATTCTAGACCACATCATCTATTTTAATTTATAAGACCCCTCCCCTTCTCATTTCCCACAGCACCCGTACCGCTGTGCGCATCACCGACATGATGATGGGCACACAGTTCCCGATTCTCCACACCCCGACATTTATTGTCCATCAGGGAGCCGTCCTGACAGTACAGGGCAGGAATCTCACTGTGGTCTGGAGTGTCATGTCCTTGGTGATCGTGACACTAGCCATTTGCCGTGTGCACTGTGGTTCTATGTTTCCTTTTTAATCCTTCAGCATTTGGGTTTTCTTAGTTCTTATTCTCACAGAGGTTACGGTGTGAGGGAGGGGTCATTTGCTTTCTTCCATGTGGAAGAAAGTCACATGTCACCCCTGACCTGGCATCTGCTGTCCTTTCAGGGTTATGAGCCAGGTGTCTGCCTTCTGTGTGGAAAGTCTCCTCCCGAGTCCTGTCCTTGCCACCGGCCTGTAGCGCCGTCTTCACATGAGACAACCTCGTGCTTTGCCTTCTGTGCCACTTCTGGTCCTTTCCATTCTCCTTACATTTCAAACGCTGTTTTTCAAATACTTGATTTTTTTTTTTTAATCTTTAAAGCCTGCTGAGAGACGAGCTACAGTTATACCTGTTTCACACACGTCGGTATGGGAAGAGCTGCTGTTCTAATTATAGCTCAGCCCGTGAGCAGATCTCCAACTGCTTAGCGGCTCCAAATTATCTTTGATACTTTCTCTTAAGAGACCATTTCAGTGGGGTCCGAGGATGCTACACTGAGGTTCTTTGCACACTAAGAGTGCAGTTTTTTGGTAGGGGAGGAGGATGCTCAGGTTGCTTAGGCCAAGCAAATCCTAGTCTCTAGTTCCTCTGACTCCATCCTTTTCTTTGTCCTGGGTCGATTTCTCTCCCTGGCTCATTCTCCTCACCCCGCCCCCCTCTGCTGACTTCTGAGTATTCCTTTACTCTCTCCCGGTTAGGTAAAAGCCAACCAGCTCTCTCCCCCAAATACCAGTTCCAATTATCCCGCCGTCTGTCAAATGTCTACCTTTCGATTACCAGAGAGGATCTTGGTTGAACACTCAACCCTGTAAATCTCGTTTTGATTTGATCATGGCCACCTCTTTTTGCTGGAAAGAAAGGTGTTGCTCTCTAAGGACGTGCTCTTACCACAGCCGCTCTTCAGCGCTGTACCTTGGCCCGCTGGGATGCCGGTTGCCTTTTTGACTATCAGATGTTGTACTTTCTTTGCTCCATCATGGTAACACCACAGAGGCCAAATCCTGTTGTCAGGACAGGCCGTCACAGAACAGAGCTAACCTCTGCAAGGGCGATGATGAATCTAAAGGAAGCAAGTTAGGGATGATAATGTGCCCAAGAGAAGGCACAACATTCTTACGTCATCCTCAAAGTATAAGACTGTGAGCTTAGGACTTGACAGCACCAGGCAGCTACTCTGCTGAGGCCACGCCCCCTTTTGCCCAGTTACCAGAGTCATGCAGAAGCACTAAGTAATCATGTTACACCCTTGCTATGATTGGTATTGATGTCAGCAGTAGCAACATTCTAAAAAGTCTCTGCAGGACCCCAAGGACCAGAAGACTCTCGGTACGAAAGAGCCATGGCGCCCCATGCCCTGAGATTGATTTGCGATGCACTGCCCAGACCAAGATGTCTGTAAATAGCTTATTGATTGACACTTGACTGTGAAATGGCTCCCAGAAGAGTACAGAGAGGTCAGAATAATAGAATTGCTGAAAATTACTTGTTGATAAACTAGCGTTACCACTAAAACGGTCTTCTGATGCATGTGCTCGCTCGGCTTTGTATAACCTGCCCCATAGTTCAATAGATCTAGTGGATCTGATAACCCTGGTGTTTGTTATGTGCCAAGGCAATGATAAAAACACATACCAGTCACAGAGGTCGTGACTCTGCAATGATTTGAATAGGTAATATATATGTTGTTCTGGCTAGCCTTAACGTAACATGGCAGGCGCTGAGAGCCGCAACAAGCCTCTGTTCCTTTCTCCTTCCCACAGTGTGTGTAAATGATATATCACCCTCTCTATGCTAGCTATTCACTTTGAAATTAAAAATATAAGGGTGTGTTGACACAAGGGTTTATAAATCCTATGTCATGAAGTTAGTTGCTTTTAATAAATTACCATGTCTTTACTCTCAGAGTACATTTGTTTCTATCCTCTGGGAGAAACCGGAGTACAGATCTTGGTATCTCGTCATCTCAGGTCAACCAGGCTAGATTCTTTCTCTGGAAATATAGAACAAAGGGCCATTCTATTTAAGTGAAAATTCTATCCTCTCTTCTACAGTATTCACTACTGTGCCCACCTTGTTGTGATAACATGTGAGTTGGGTTGTATGCTATTTGCTTTTCTCATCTCTGACAGAATTGCTAAAGCAGCCGCTTGAGTTTTGACTCATAGTTCAGGGAACAAAGTCTGTCATGGTGGGAACGACATGGCGGCAGGCAATGTGACAGCACAAGGGACAGGTGGCTGGACACCCTGCTCCTCAGGGAACAGAGAATTTGGCTGGAACCTGGCCTACCTATAACTCCCTAGCCCTGCCCCCTCAGATCTAAACTGCCAGGAAGGCCCTAATCCAGAAAGTTCTGTAATGTCCCAAGACAGTGCCACCCAGCTACGGACCATTCATTAAAACCATGAGCCGTGTGGGAACATTTCACAATCAGCCAAAGCTTTATATATGATCTAAAAGGTTTACCCAGTTGCTAAAAGACATACAAAAGACTTATACCCTTTTCCATGCAGGTTCTGGTGGCGTGGCTGGACATTGTTACATAGTACTTACTCAAATACTGCCTAGTGGCATGACTGGGCACTGTTACATAGTACTTCCTAAAACACTGCCTACAAACAGATGTGTCTTTTTCTTTGTCTCATAATGATTTGCTGAAATTTACACAAGCCCTTCACAGAAAGGTTTCCAATGCTTGTTCGTTTTCTTGCTTCTACTTTACATGTCTCAGAGAATTTCTAATTTACCAAGTGAGAAAGAAGCCTAGCTTTCTTTACCCCAAACCTCTCACCTGGTTACTATCTGTGTAAGTATAACAGGTGTTGCAGTGAACTCTGGGAAGAATGAACTCTTTCAAATGAGTGGATTGGTTATCAAGGGAAATAGAAAGCAATTTCCTGAGCTGTTGAGAGATGGGCAGGCTTTCCTCCACCACGTCACCTGCATATTCTAGAATATTTTTACATACCCAGGTTGGAGCAAATGAGGTATATCATTCACTGTGCAGATGTTTCTATAAGCAAATGAGGCATCATTTTCTGTGCAGATGTTTCTATAAGCATCTACTCCTGACATTTTTCATCAGATGTCCACCCACCTCTAGACAGCAGGGACAAGAGTAAGGGGCTGGTAGGGAAGGCGGAGAAAGACTTTGATTGGGGGACACTTGTGCAGTAGGTTAAACCACACAGCGTCTAAGATGCTCTACAAACAGGATTGTAATCTGCAATCTTTTGAGTTCTGACGTGGTATTTACTCGATCACTGTCTCGCCTGTCAGTTATCTCTTGATCCCCAGAATTAGTTTTCGAGTCTAATCTTTTATTCTGAAGTACAGGGTGGTCTAACCTATGAGTGTTTCATAATTAAATCTAAAATTTTTATGAAGCAAAACTTTTCCTGAATTTTAATGATGTTGAGATTTCATATTTAAAAAAAAAAGCCCATGAGAAGAATAAATGTATCAAATGGCATCTATCAGGATGGTTTTATGTTATTTTTTTTAAAGCTAATAAAACATGCTTGCTGGAATTGTGGGGGTTTTTTTCTGTTATAAACGCCACTAACATGTTGCAGCCACGCTCCATCAATGTCAAAAGGAGATTAAAACAACTGTGGCGGATATTACAGCCAAGGAGAGGTTTTATATGTCATATTGCAAAGTCAAAATCTTTTTATTTTACTGTCACTGCATCTCCAATAAGAGGATGAGGAAATTAAGATCTAATGCTCAATTTTTCTTTTGCCTAGAAAACTGATGCCAACTAGACGTATTCCCCCACCCAACCCCTGCCTACTGTTCTCCCTCTCTCCCTCTCTCCCTCTCTCCCTCTCTCTTTCTCTCCCACCCCACCCCTGACTGCCTCTTATTGCCTCCTGTTTGATGGCTCACTCGTCCTATTCAGCCTGTTTCTAAAGCCTGATGTTGGCTTCCAGAGGACAGCCTGACATGCGTGTTCCTGTTGTTCTCCTGTAGAGTGTGAGCCCATCGAAGCCATAGCCAAGTTTGACTACGTCGGGCGGTCAGCCAGAGAGCTGTCCTTCAAGAAGGGTGCGTCCTTGCTGCTGTATCACCGCGCCTCTGAGGACTGGTGGGAAGGCAGACACAACGGGATCGATGGGCTCGTGCCTCATCAGTACATAGTCGTGCAAGACATGTGAGTGGGCCCAACGGCTCGGCTGCCTGAGATGGCCAGCTATTGGAGGGTCGGGTGGAGGTTTTTGCAGGAAGAGGGAGGAAGGCAAGGAATTCAACCCCTGGGTCTTGCATATGCTAAGCATGTGTTCCGCTGCTGAGCTACAGCCACTAGACCCCAGATAAAAAACAGGCAAAAGTGCACTGAGCACTGAGAATTTTCTACCTTCCTAGTGACTTTAATGCTGAATAATTAAATCACTGTATTTACTTTATGTGGAAGATTTGTCTTGACCTTGAAAGTCTACTGTTCAGTGGGCGGTGCATTAGGAAATGTACCCAGAGAAATCAAGATGGAACTAGTTAGCTGCTTGCCCAGCATTCATAAAGAAAGTAATGGACTCTGTCTACACCTTGCACCACATACCAGGGGGAGTTGGTGCCTGCCTGTAATCCTATCATTCAGGAGGTAGAGGCTTTAGGCTTAGGAGTTCAAGGCCATCCTTGGCTACATAGCAAATACAAGACCTGCCTGGGATAAATGAGACCCTGTCTCATTTTTAAAAGGAGGCAGAAGTTCAGGATTCTATGCAGGTTGGTTGCTGACAGTTCAGAGCCAGCAAGGATTCATTTCCCAAGTTCTCCAGCTTGAGAGGAGCTAATGGAAGACGTCTTTTGACGGTGTCTCAGAATAGTAACCTCTACAGGAAATGACTTCTGAGTGTTAGTATGCCCATGGTGATTCCCAGAGTAGCCAGTTCGTCTCTTGATAGCCAGCTGTTTCAATCCCCAGATCCCAAGAGGTAGAATACAGAGCCACAGAGGAAGAGAATCTCCTCGAGGCTTTTGTTGGTATTGTCTGTTTCCCAAATGAGACCGCTCTAAACGGTTCAGAACTGCTTAAGGACTTGACACAATGGTGGCGTAAGTGTAAGGCACAGCTTTCGGAAACAGCAGACACAGCAGAGTCCCTGGCTTCTGAGAATACTATATCTCACAACTCGTTGCCAACTTCAAGTATCTTTCCAAGGGAAAAAAGAGAAATACACCATATAAAGTGAGGAGAAGTATTTTTCACATACCTTTAGAAATAATAAAGTGTGTCTATGACAACTAAGAAAATGTATACATATGTAGACGTGAAGGTACACATATGTAAACCACTGAGGAGAAAGCCTGTTATCCATAGTGTAAGTACTCTATATACAGACACACATTTGTATGCATTCTAGACACAGAAGGAAAATATTGACCTTATCACAGTTGCCTCTTGGTTTAGTGGGGTTTTCCTTGTTTTCAAAACAGGGTTTCACTGTGAGCTTCGACTGTCCTGGAACTCACTCTGCAGACCAGGCTGGCCTCAGACTTACAGAGATCCGCCTGCCTCTGCCTCCCGAGTGCTGGGATTAAAGGCGTGCACCACCACCCCTGGCTGGTGCAGTATGTTACAGATGACTGGGATTTTACTCTTCCGTATGCCTGAAAATTTCAACTTTCTGGCAACAAAATTACATTATGTTTCGAATGAAAATCTACCCTAGGGTGCTGGAGGTTAAGAGCACCCACTGCTCTTGCAGAAGACTTGAGTCCAGTTCCCAGCACCCAGGCGTGTGGCTCGCAAGCACGTGTACACTCAGCTCCAGGGGTACGATGCTCTCTCCTGGCCTCCATAGATAGCATGTGCACTCGTATGCACACGCCCCACGCAGACACACAGTCAACAAACCTACAAATCAAGAACAGTCACATGAGTAAAAGTCTTATATAAATACCATCCCTAGCCGGGCGGTGGTGGCACACGCCTTTAATCCCAGCACTTGGGAGGCAGAGGCAGGCCGATTTCTGAGTTCGAGGCCAGCCTGATCTACAGAGTGAGTTCCAGGACAGCCAGGGCTATGTAGAGAAACCTTGTCTCGAAAAAAACAAAAGCAAAGAAACAAACAAACAAACAAACAAAAAATACCTATAGTTTTGTTTCCAACAAGCTGAAGTCTCTCTCTCTCCTCTCTCTCTCTCTCTCTCTCTCTCCCTCTCTCTCTCTCTCTCTCTCCCTTCCCCCACCCCCCATTGTTCCAGGGACGATACATTTTCAGACACACTGAGCCAGAAAGCCGACAGTGAAGCCAGCAGTGGGCCAGTCACTGAAGACAAGTCCTCATCGAAGGACATGAACTCCCCAACTGACCGACATTCTGATAGCTATTTAGCCAGGTGAGTGGCCTCTGATTGTCAGCTCCAGACCTCCCCTCCTCTGGGGACAGTGAGGAACGATCAGACATACACTTAACCTTACAGTGTCATCCCGTGTCAAAAGCTCTTCTGTTTTCTCTTTCTTCTCTGAATGCCTAGACAAAGGAAGAGAGGTGAGCCACCCCCTCCGGGAAGACGTCCTGGCAGGACCAGTGATGGCCACTGTCCCCTGCATCCCCCACATGCTCTTTCTAACTCCTCAATAGATCTGGGATCCCCAAACCTAGCCAGTCACCCCAGGGGCCTGTTGCAGAACCGTGGCCTCAATAATGACAGTCCTGAGAGGCGGCGCCGGCCGGGCCATGGCAGCCTGACCAACATCAGTCGGCACGACTCCCTCAAGAAGATGGACAGCCCTCCTATCCGGAGGTCTACGTCATCAGGGCAGTACACCAGCTTCAACGACCACAAGCCGCTGGACCCCGAAACCATTGCTCAGGTATAGCGCTGTTAACTGAATACTGTATTCTAAGTACTCGGGTGGGGTAAAGGCAACATGAAAGTGTTAAAAATCTGTATATGATACCGAAATATATAAATTACTCAAGAAAACAAAGGAAACGTGCTCTCTGTCTAAAGCCGTGAATCTCTCACCATGTTTGTTACTGGAAGAGGCCCGGCATATTAAATTCATATTGATTTAAAGAGCTGAAAGGTAGGATCCAGGTGTCTTAGACAGGGTTTCTATTCCTGCACAAAACATCATGACCAAGAAGCAAGCTGGAGAGGAAAGGGTTTATTCAGCTTACACTTCCACATTGCTGTTCATCACCAAAGGAAGTCAGGACTGGAACTCAAGCAGGTCAGGAAGCAGGAGCTGATGCGGAGGCCATGGAGGGATGTTACTTACTGGATTGCTTCCCCTGGCTTGCTCAGCTTGCTTTCTCATAGAACCCAAGACTACCAGCCCAGGGATGGCACCACCCACAATGGGCCCTTCCCCACCTTGGTCACTAATTGAGAAAATGCCTTCCAGCTGGATCTCATGGAGGCATTTCCTCAAGGGAGGCTCCTTTCTCTGTGCTAACTCCAGCTTGTGTCAAGTTGACACACAAAACCAGCCAGAACACCAGGACATCCATGCCCATCATTGGTAAATAGCCAGGAAAATACTGAAAAGGAAGGACCTGCTAACAGAGCCTAATACATTCTAAAACTCGCTCAACAGACCAATGGTTAGAGCAGAATGGAGAGCCCAGACACAAGACACAGCAGTGGAACGCAAAGGTGACATTTGTCAAGTTAGTGACTGACAGATCAGTCAATAAATAATGTAATCAATCATGGTTAGCCATTTAGAGGACAGTAATGCTGGATCCCATGTCCCTCCCTTCCCAGCACAGACTACATAGAGGCCCTCTGTAGGTTATCTCTCAGGATCAGAATTGACCAGACACAAGTATCCCTGGATCAGTGAGCTTGCCCACTCTACTTCACTGGACCTCTGGCTCAGAACATGTCTTTGTAGCTAGCAGAGGAAAGTGGATAGATTTGGTGCTGGACGCAAGGAATCTTAGTTGTCGATGTTTCTGAAGCTTTAAAACTATCTAAGTGAAGGAGAAGAGAAGGGACGAGAAACAAGTAAGAAAGCAGATTATTCTAAAACACAAAACACCCCCAGGAATCCTTAGTCGACACATTCCCAAACTGTTTTAGCGTCCTGGTGATGAAGAATTCTGGATAGTAAATTGGGTTATTTAAAATAGTTTCATGTGTTTATAAACAATTAAATGAATTTTAAGTATAGGGCAATTTCTCAGCAAAAAAGACTTTTGACCTTTGAGTCTGTTTAAAGGGTGATGTAAGGCCCTTTGAGACCTAGAGAACCAGTTCCATTTGGCAATAGCTGAGGGCCATCCTTTGAGAAGCCCCTAGCATCGTTGCTGTGAGAAGCAGGTATCTGATTGGGTTTAGAGACAGACTTAGGAGCCTGAGGGTAAAAAAGATACATAATAAGCCATTTAACCCTTTTGCTGCCAGAACCAGGAAATCCTTTTATCATAAAACATAAAAAACAAAAGTCAACAGGTAAACAGAATTCTTTACCATCTGTCTTGGGCAAATACTTGTTTTTTTTTTTTTTTGTTCCCTCTGTTTATCAGTAAAGGAAATTACATGTGAAAGTAATTGTTTGAAAAGTGTTCCTCACCCTTGAACACGGCTTCCAGTTCTGTCTCTTATCTATCCTTCCATCGACAGCCTTCAAAGGTTCCCACGGGGACAAATGAGCATGTCATAGATGCTCAAGCAAAAACATGCTCGTTCTTTTGGTAAAGAAATCAGTGGGATCCCCGCAGTAGACCGGAATGGGAGCATGTCCTGTCTACAGAGGGACATCATGTCATGGGAGCATGTCCTGTCTACAGAGGGACATCATGTCATGGGAGCATGTCCTGTCTACAGAGGGACATCATGTCATGGGAGCATGTCCTGTCTACAGAGGGACATCATGTCATGCTCTGGTTTATTCTGTATTGGATACTGTGATTTAATAGCACGGCTTTGCTTCTTCAGTTCGCAAACGCTTGTTGAGCGCTGACTGTACTGGGACCTTCGATAGGCTTTCCCGACGGACAGGTTCAATGCAGCTGCTTTCTCAAGCCGCTGGCAATGCAGCTGGGGAGAAGAAATGGGAGGCGGTTACACTGTGTGGAGAGTAGGGATTATGGTCCAGGTGCACAGAAGGGGTCCTGGGAATAAAGAGAGAAAGTGTTTCCCTGAGAACATGGCAAGTTCTGAACTCCATTTCAATACTGCCTGTTTTGAACTCCTGGTTAAAGAAACATCATAAATTTTGCCATCTTAAGCATTTTTAAGTATAGATAATTCAGTAAAGAATATTTCCATCCTAAGCCAGGCGGTGGTGGTGCACGCCTTTAATCCCAGCACTTGGGAGGCAGAGGCAGGCGGATTTCTGAGTTCAAGACCAGCCTGGTCTACAGAGTTCCAGGACAGCCAGGGCTACACAGAGAAACCCTGTCTCGGAAAAAAAAAAAAAAAGAATATTTCCATCCTTATGAAATAACTCTCTAGAACTTTACACGGGGATGCTTTCTCCAATGCCCCCTTTCAGAGCCCTGGCAACCACTGTCTTCTGTTTCTGTGAATCTGACCACTTCACATACCTCATACGTATAGAATACAATGTTTATATGTCTGTTACTGTCTTATTCCATACAGCACAATGTCCTCAAGGTGCAACACACGGTAGCATTTGCCAGGATTCCTTTCAGGTCTGAAAGGTATCGTGTGTGTGAGTGTGTGTGTGTGTGTGTGTGTGTGTGTGTGTGTGTGTGTGTAAAACACAGAGAGCATGCATTGTTGTAACCAACTCTTCAGTGGTGCACACTTTACCCTTTGAACTAACTTTCTATAGTTCTCCCTTTACATCTGAACTAGATTAATGATATATGTAATTTGATGATGTAAGTGATAAATACAAGGAAATCAGTATTTTTTTAAAAAGTTAAATGCATTTCTATCTCAATTCTTTTTATTGCTATAAGGACTTTACGTATTACAGGATGCAATATAATAATTCGGTATATGTATGCAATGTGAAGTTATCAAGTGAACGTTACAGTTTCCTTGGTTATTTTCTCTCATGTTTGGCTCTTTATCAACTATAATTCTGAACTATAGTTGCCCTACTGTGATGTAGAACACTGGAACTTGTTCATACAAATGTTAGTTAAGCACTATGCAAAAGACAAAGTGAAATACTTTTGTACCCACACATAGAATTTCCATGAATTCAGTGGTTAAAAGCGTGCATTGGCGTAGCGGTACTAATTAGCTTTCATACTCGATGAAACACTACTAGCACTGGGAGTTTTCTCAGAAGAACGGACAGCCCAGCGCTTGTTCACAGTGCTTCAGTCAAACGGCGATTCACTGAATGGTAGCCCTAGAGAATCTAACGCCGTGCAGAAAGTGTGTCATGTTTCCACACGGTCAGCCTAAATGACAACCAGGGACATTCTTCTAAGACTGGTGGTGTGTATTGGGGAATGGCAGACCGTTGCTTGGGGATGTGTCGCTGTCGTAAACAGGGAACGAATTCAAGGACGTGAAGACGCTGGAACATTTCAAAGGTGAGATGAAGAGAAACACATTATCACGAAAGGATAATCCTTGGCCACCAGGATTAATAAATGACAAGGCTGGCATCCATCCAAGGTCGGACAGACTGTTGCTAGGCAGATGTCCATGCTGGGATAGATGTCCTTACAGTGTTTTTCTGTGTAAAAGTGCAGTGGCCTTTGTCAAGGTTGTACATCTGCCAGATTTATTGTGCATAATTTTGCTTTCTTTTTGAGTCAGTCAGGCACACACACATAAGATCGCTTCCTTTACAGTCTCCCACGTACGTATATAAGCCTGGCAAACGTACCTCCATTTTGATCCTCATGTTTTTCATAATATGAGAAAGAAGTTACCTATTGCTGGCCCCTGCCCCTCCCTGACAAAAGGGGAGGAGCCGTGATAAAGAATAGGAAATTAATCCATCCAACCTGAATGACCAAGGAAGCAAGGAAGAGTGCTGGCGTGAGCATTAACAGTTTTTAAGTCTAACGCTTAGACAGCAGCCCAGGAAGGAGAGTGAGGTCCAATGTCTCTCCTACTCTGTCTTATCCTTCTATTGATGTGATAAAATACCATAACCAAAAACAACTTGCAGAAGAAAAGGGCTATTTTATGTCTGGCATCCAGGATGTCAGGGCAAGAACTCAAATGAGACAGGAACCAGTGCAGAAACCATGGAGGGGCTTGTTCCTCATGGCTTGCTTGGCTTGCTTTCTTATACCACCAAGACCACCTGCCTAGGGATGGTACCACCCACCACTAGCCCCTCCTCCTTCAATTACTGATTAAGAAGATGTAACACAGGCCGCTTGCCCACAGGCCAATCCAGCTGAGGTATTTTTCCTCAACTGAGGCTTCTTCTTTCAAAATTACTCTAGCCTTTTCAGGTTGACATAAAAACATAGCCAGTAGATATCCTGTGTTCCCATCCTAATGGATGCGGAGCTAAAATGGACCTCTCATGGAGAAGATAAGTTGACCTGGGAAGTCCCCATTGCTCCTGCAGATGACTGCCTGGTGAGTCCGATGGTCCTTACAGGCCCCAGCACAGTAGGGAGAGTCACCCAGGGTTCCTAGAGCTGTACTGTGCAAAATAGTAGCACATAGCCATGCTGACGTAAGCTCCCTCCACCCTAGAACTGGACGCTCAGTAGAGAGTTTCCTCTAATTCCCAGTGATCACACAGTCTTCTCCTTTCTGTGTCTCTCCTGCCGTCTACCATGCTCACCTAGCTGGCTACAGCATCATAACCCTGGATACTCAGAGTCTAGGCCCAGAAGACAAGATCTCAACTTTCAAATGCTTCCACACCCAGGCAGCAAGTGATGTTGTTCAGAGGGCCAGCTGGCAAGCAGTGGGCAGCACGCCAAATGTGTCTATTCTTGACCCAACAGCCATCAAGGCATGTCCCCATTAGTCTACTCGGCATACTGCAAATAAGACTCACATTTATGTTACACTGGTCCACAGACATCCGGGGATAGTCCCACTTCCCTGCACCTGTAAGAGCCGTGCCCAACAGCCAGGTGTAAGCTCCGCCTACCAAACAGCCAGACAGCTACAGCCCACGGTGCCTGTATACACTCATCCCATCCCAACAATAAATCAGGTAGTGGCCCCACTCTGCCACAAAACTGTGATGCCCCTGCAGTCGCATACCCTGTATCCTGGAACAGTGATGCCATCATAGACATCACTGATGGATTATAGATGAAGGACACATCTATAGCCCCATCCGTGGGTCCGTCTAGAATCAGGGCAACAACATACCTAACCAAAGTCCTAACACCATACACAGGGTTAGGCCCCATCCACAGGTGTGAGGCCCCTCTGAAAAGAATAAATAACCTATAAACCTTGAAGATGTGAACATTACACTAGATGGGAAAAAAAATATCAACGAAGGAACCAACAAAAAATGAAAATGATCGGACCATAGTAACACTTGTTATCAAACCCCAAAGGGAAGGAAATGTACGGCCTTGAAGACAAACTCAAGACGATGACCATAATAAAATAGAGAACAAGAGAATATGAAGGACCCAGAGAACTCACAGAAGCCTTCCACGGCCTAAGTGATAAAAGTCAACAAAGACGTAGAGATCATGAGACCAAACACAAATGAAACCCTCACACCTGAAGAATTCAGCAAGTGGGATTTTAAAAGAAAAGAAGAATAGAATCTAGAGGCACAATGTCAGGCTACACTGAAGCCACAGAACGAGTCCAGGAATTCAAGGTGGGGCTTCTGAAGGGGCCCAGCCAAAGCAAAACAACAGGACAGTAAAAAGTGGAGAAGGCTCCAGAGACTTCTACGATACAATTAAATAGGTAATACCTGCATCATGGGAATTCCAGAAGGAATAGCCATGGAGAAAGATGCAGAAAGCAACGAATCACAAACGAGAACTTCCCAAATTTTGAGAGGCATGTGAAAGTCCAAGTCTGTGAAGTTCAAAGTTCCCTGACTAGACACAATCCCAAAATGTCTTCTCCAATGAGCATTCCAATCCAGAATAAGGGAGGGAGGGAGGAAGAGAGGGAGGGAGGGAGAGAGAGGGAGGGAGGGAGAGGGAGGGAGGGAGGGAGGGAGGGAGGGAGAAGAAAGAAAGAAGAAAAGAAAATTCTAAAAGCAACAAAAGAATAAAGTCAAATCTATATGAGGGATCCTAAAAATTAGTGCAGATTTCTCAGTAAAACCATCTAGAATACCATATTTTAAACACTGAAAGGGGAAAAAAAAAAGTCTTCCCGACAAAGCCACTTCTCAGAATGAGAAATGAAAACCACCCCCACAGGCCAGCCAACAGAGAGCTCATCGTGACTAGCCCTACCATGTAAGAGGCACTTGGGCGGTGGGAGGACCGTGCCCAGTAAAGAGAAGGAAACAACGACCTTGTTCTGAGAGATTATGGGAAAATAAGGAGTTCATAGCTAGCCTGGAGGCCAGGAGGGGTGGGGCTGGTTTGGAGAGAGAACAATTAGAAGTACAGAAGGTGTGCAGGTCGGTCAGGAGAGAAGCTTCTAGTGTTCTATAACTGACAATGTTTTGTAAAGGGAGGGGCTATTATTAAGGTCTTGTTCCCCAATTGGTTCTTGACTTGTCAATAAAGAAGGCCAGGGTCCAATTGCAGGATGGTAGGCACGGGTGGGACTTCCGGGTCCTAAGAGGAAAGGAGACGAGGGAAGGAGAAAGGGGCTTTTTCTGCCATGCTTTGGATCGAAACGAAAGGAGCAGTCATGCAAGGTCTTGGGGGAGCCAGGAACTGCAGCTTCTGCTATGGGCAGGGGTCAACGATTCTGGGGGTGGGGGGCTAGCTCATGCAAGCCATTAAGCTTAGGGCAGAGGAGAGATGGAGATAATAAATTGATAAGGGTTACATATTTCCAGGCAGGAGGTATCTGCATCCAGCAATTGTGCCTAGAGGCAAATTTTAAAGGTAACGGAGCAGTGTGTGTGTCTTTTATCCAAGGATTCAAAGGTCTTCGGAATGGGCTGGTAACACAACCCTTCCAGGAGCAAAGGTAGGCAGGAAAGAGAAGCCGGGTCAGTGCTGGCAAGGCGCTGATCCTGGAACTAAGCCGGGAGGAACAAAGGAGGGGTGGGCGGCTAAGGCGGTAGCGTGTCATTAAAACTACACGCTACAATGTTTAATATTAAATACTTCAAATCTTAATTAGAAAATGATTTGAATGCTTCCAGCAGAAAAAAGTAATAAACACACCAGGCAATGGCTGTACATCATAACCTAAGCTGGTCATTACACATACCTGTAGTACAGTTTTCTGACTAAATATTTTACATGTTAATACTTAACAGTCCGGTAATTATGCATGAAGTTTTCACTTTGGTACATATCTCAAGAGGGGTTGGGGACAGGGCTCAGATAGTATAGCTCTTGGTGCACAACCATAAGGATATGTGTTGCATTCCCAGAACAAATGTTAAACATCAGAGTGTGGTCACATGCACTTGTAACTGGGGAGGCAGAGACGATCAGGGTGTGGTAGTGTGCAATTGTAAAACCAGCGCCAGGGAGGCAGAGACAGGCAGATTCCCTAGGGACTGCTAGCCCGTCAGCCTATCTTAAATCAGTGAGTTCTGGCCCAGCGAGACATTCGTATCTCAAAAGGGACAACACCTGAAGTTGACCTCAGGCCTACACACGCACAAGCACACATGCGCGTGCACACAAAGATGAAACAGAATTCTGATGAATCGAGCACAAGACAGGAAGACCTCAGTAGGTCGCCTAGAACCTCAAAAGGACAGTTGTTTGATCTGTGACTCAAAGTGCTTTGCTTCTGAGTCTCCAGATCATTTAGAGTCAACCCAGATGCACAAGGTGGTGGTGTTCATACTCTGTGGACAGACCGCAAAGTTCAAATATTCACGTGCTCTGCTTTGTTTCTATGATCGCCAGTCTCTCCTTTACTCTCTTAATTTTTTTTTTCTGTCAGGATATTGAAGAGACCATGAACACTGCTTTGAACGAACTCCGCGAACTTGAGAGGCAGAGCACCGTGAAGCACACCCCGGATGTCGTGCTAGACACCTTGGAACAAGTGAAAAACTCGCCCACGCCCGCGACTTCCACAGAATCGCTCAGCCCGCTGCACAACGTCACCCTCAGGAGCTCAGAGCCTCAGATTCGCCGGAGCACCAGCTCCTCCAGCGATACAATGAGTACTTTCAAGCCTATGGTAGCGCCCAGGATGGGCGTCCAGCTGAAGCCCCCAGCCCTTAGGCCAAAGCCCGCTGTTCTTCCAAAAACAAACCCTACCGTAGGACCTGCTGCATCTTCCCAGGGTCCCACAGACAAGTCTTGCACGATGTAAAAACAAAGGTCACAAAGGGAGTGGGATGGTCTGAAGGTAAAAATGAATGAGTGGCAAGATTCGGTGATCCCCAACCGTCCTCGGTATCACGATTATAACTGGAGGTCCTTTGGCTTTTCTATGTTGTATCGAATGTAACGATGTCTGGGACTAGCTAAATTAACACGGGCATTTGTATTTTGTAATTTTTTTTTAAATAACTGGACACATGTCATTTTAAAGACACTAGAAACACTTAGACTTACTTGAAAATCCAATGCTGCACCCTTGTCATGAAGGCAACACCTCACCCAGCACGGTATACGGCTTCGGATTCAGTGTTGCCTCGGTGAGTGTCCCGGAAGCAAGAGAACCCGAGTCCCAGGTCGAACTGGAGCGTCATCGTCTGCCACGATCTGTGACCCTTGTGGGAAGAGCACTCGTTGCCTAGCAACCGACAACAAGCACCTCCAACTCTGTCCAGGGTGGTGCCTCGCACCTGATAAAAGTCACAGAGGGACCTTCCAGTGGGACCTTCAGTTCATGGCTTGAAGGAGTTCAAAGATGGACCCTTCCATTAAAATTCATTTCCCTGGATCCAGGTTAAAGACTCAGTGGAAGGGTGTAGAAGATACTCAGGTGTTGCTTGAACTAAACCTGGGAAAGGCAGTAAGGGAAACGTCTCCAAGGCCCAGAGAAGTCCAAGCCCACCCCTTACACTTATGTAGAACTAGAGCAGCCGACTTGTAAGGACTTCCTGGTTACACCACAAACTCCTGCAGATTTGTTCGATAACTGCCTGAGAAATATGTCCACCTTCCCCTGAACCCCATGTTTTCTCCTTTATGGCAATGGAAACAACCAAACAGGAAATGAATCCTTGGTCCACTGATGTTGTGACTAAATTACCTTGGTTCCTTTATGCTACAAAGGCCCAGTGGTCCCCAATAGGAAGCCCCAGCCTTGCTAGCTACCCACAGCTCTCTCTGAGCCAAGCCAGATCTGGCTACGGTACTGAGCGAGAGCCATGCAAGGCCACCATGGGAAGACAACTTTGTGGCGCCGGGGTGATGCCTTCCCAGTTTTGTACCTCAGAATCGTGACTTCTGTTCTCATCCTGTTTGTGCTTGCATCTTTTGGATTTTGCTTTATGGTCTCTACAGACCTTCCTGTAGTCCAGTGGGCTCAATTGGAGACCTGTTTTCCTGGTATTTTAGCACATAGCCATTTTTCTTTATCATATATGCTATATTTTTCCTCTATCTTAAAAAAAAATATGGTGGATTTGTGTTTATTTGGTTCTGGGGGCTGACGGAGACCTCTTGCATGCTAAGTATACACTACCACTGAGCTGGAGATCCCAGCCCTCACCCACAAGATCATTCTGGACACAGCCATTTTTTCACTAAGGTACTAATCACAATTCTCGTAGCTGTAGCAGCCAGCATCTGTATTAACACTGAACTTCCTGATGAGGCAAACAGATGGCTCAAAGCAAACCCATCCACCCACCATTAATTACCTTCTAGGTCTAATTTCAAACTGGCCTCCGGTTGCACACCCACCTAAGAGTAGCACAGCACTGACAATAACTCCTGCAGAAACCAACCAAGACCTACGCTAAAGTCAAGATAGTGGCTACCTCAGTTTGCCAGTCTAGTCATTCCATTGCAGGAAAAAAATATTGATGAACTGTTCCCTTTCCAAGTCACTCTCCTCATTTCACAAATGTGCTGAAGACATACTTCCTACCCCTCCCCCCACCACCAGGTACTTCAGGTATGGTAAGGTTTTAAACCTCGAATTTTTCAGAACCATTCTTCTCTGACCATTTTTGAAAAAAGAAACCATGGAGACCCAGCCAGGACTGCCCTTTGACGGACACTGACTGCTGGTCTCCTTGGAAGTATATTATCTCCTAAATGAACCCGCCATTTATTTAGAAAACAATAATGACTCTTAGTACTGCGTTTCTGGTTTCTTGATGGATGATACCAACAGAAGGCAGAAGGAACTGGCTGCCTTTTGAGTTTGTTTGTAGATGCCTTTCTTAAGCTTTAATTTTATTTTTTCAGATCTTAACTTCCTTAAACAGCTCCCTAGGAATCCCCTCCACCCCACCCACCTTCACCCCACCCCACCTCCCCACCCCACCCCGCTGCATTTGATGCCATGCTCCACCTATGCTCCACCTTTCTACCCCTAGGTCAGGACTCTGCTGCCTTGAATAACAAAGGCCATGCTTCTGTACACTGCCAAGGTCTCTTCCTCTAGGAAACGCTCCTAGTAGACTCTATCTTTCCTTTATCTTCTCTCCAGTACCTGTTGCCATTCCCAGCCTTAACTTTTGTCTCTAATGAAAGTCAAAAGGGTAGATGGCCTCCAGGGAGGCGCTCACCAATCCTTCCTTTCTTTAGAGGTGGCTCAACAGGCCTATGCTTTCCTCTCTGACGTTGGCACCCTTTGAGCCACGCACGGACTAGTTTAAAGTAAGGCATCCCCCTGCACAAAGGATCCTTAAAACTGTCAGTAAAGCTCCCTAAAAGCTGTAGCAGTTGAGAAGGGTCACCTTGCAGGGCCTGGTTTAAACCACAGGTGTAGCACAGCAGGAAGGCACAAGGAAAGGATGGACATGAACCCCAAGGTACTCTCTGTTTTCCCCCATTTCCAGATCTCACAGTCCATGTGCAGTTTAGGGATGGGAGTATTTCCTGAGCAAATGACAGTCCGCAACAATACCCAACTCCACACGTGTTAACGATTCAGAGCTGATAGAATCACACATTTTCGTCCCATCCTAAAACCCCGATGGAGATTTGCGAAGCCTCGTGGTGTGAGTTGGGGGTTTGAGGTATGGATTGCTAGGAACTTACTGCACATTCTCTGAGGAGTGTCTGTTGAGGGCACCGCACAAAGCTTGAGTTCTTGCCACTTGCCTTGTGTTCGCACAACGTAATCTAACGTCGGTGCCCCAAGAGCCAGCCACAGAACAATTCATACTGAGGTCCCACACATTCTACGACCACAGTCATGAGTAATTACCAATGAGTAAAGAGCTCCCAAGGGTCAGACGGTCTCTCTTGAGTTTTCTGTCTCTGCATTTGCCATTCCCAAAGTGGCTCTATTATTTAATTAAGAAGCTGGGTCGGCGGTAGTGGTCTTAGCATTTCGGATTGCTCCGCCTCTATGTCTATGTGCTGAAGGAACCATGACCGAACATCAGAAATCTAACAGCAAGGAGGCCATGAGTCCGTTGAGAGTCTATTTGGGTTGATATTTTTCTCCTGGCCAGAGTAGGAAAGACCATAAATGCGGAAACTGCATTTAGGGTGCCATCTTTGGTATCCACCACTGAGACTCTGAAACACAGAGAGCTTGGAAGTGAAAATAGAACCCCTCTACTTGAGACTGACCCCTGAGCTGAGAGCCCCCCTCAAGCTCCAGCAGGCTGGAGCCTCGAAGGCTTGCAGCAGATGACTTTGGCGCCGATTATAAAGCCAGAGACTGAGTTTTCACTCATCCTAATATACTTTATTAAAAAAAAAAAAAAAGTCTCAGTGGTATAATCAAAATGGGTAACTGTATCTTTAAATTACATAGGGAATTTTGTATGTTTAAATAACCGTACCGGGTCCCATAATGCTTATCTTAGAAACTAGTAAAAGAAAACTATATAAACCGTGCGTTCGTGAATGCCCCCTCCGTAGAGCGTTCGCCTAGGTTTCCGTGTGTAGTGTGACGGTGATTGCAGATATCTAAAGTAGTACGTGGTCGTGTCACAGGAGAGATTGCTCTGTCCCTGCATTCTTAATGATAACTCCCGCCCACGTAATTAAGCCAGTGTTGTCCTTTCCTGTCGGTTTGGTCAGTTGCAGTACCGGTAGCTTTCTGCTTGTGACAGTTACCTGAGTGTGTCAATGTACATCTCTAGTATGTACATGTGAAAGTGCCTTCCTAGCTTAGCGTTTAGCCTTGCTCTTGGACTGCTTCCCACTACGTCCCGCCCACTTCCTTCATTTCCTGACGCCCACCACAGTGTTCTGAAACTCCCTCCGCTTGTTCCCGGCCTCTCTCCATCCCCGCCATCCTCCTGTGCCTCCTGTGTCACATGCATCTAGCATCCATGTGGATTATCGCTGTCTTGTTGTCCCCTCCTAGACGTGACTGTGCCTTTCTCACCCTGCAGTGACTCCCTGCCATCCGATCCAACCTTCCCACCACGCCCCACCCACACTGCCCCTGCCATCCTATCCCCATGCTCTATATGTACCGGCTCTCCAGTACATCCTGTTCCTCTCTGAGGTGAGGAGAAAAGGGACGCTATTACATTACAGTCCTGGAAGAAAAGATGTTTTGTTAATTTGTCGTGACGATGCACTTTTCTGTATAGTACAGTACATTTTTGGCATGTACCGTTACAGGCTTCAATATACGGTCGGGTTTGTTCTTCAAGGGGTAGCTTTATAATAAACATGATAGTTCTGCCCGCCTTGGTCTGCTCGTGATTTGCTGTGACCGTCCTGTCTGTTCCTTTTTTACTCTTGTTCCCCTGGAGAGTTGGGTGGCATTAAAGAATGTGAAATTTTTGCTGTGTTTTGTTTTGTTTTGTTTGAGATAGGGTCATTCTATGTAGCCCTGGATGTCCTGTAACTCACTATGTCGACCAGGCTGGCCTCAACTCACTAAGACCTGTCTGCCTCTGCCGGCATTGAAAGCAAGCGCCGTAACACCTGGCTCATATTTTTAAGAAAAGACCTTTTGTTTCATATTCACTTTCATTCATGCGTTTGAAAGTGAGGCCGCCTATACACAGCCCTGTCTGAGGAGCTGCAGTTGTCAGAGTCCTGGCTCCGACACCTGTGTGGGGAAGGAAGAGGCATGGAATCCAGTCTTTATTCCATGGATTCCTTCTCACCATAAGTCCTGTCAAGCCAGTCTTTGTTTCATTTAACATACTGAAGTAGAATCCTCGGTGTTGACTCTGTTTAGATTTGCCCAGGTATCAACATTTTAATTTCAAACACAAAAGCCAAATCTCCCAGATCAAATTGAAGCGGTAACGTGCCAGGTTGAAAACTGTCAGATGTGGAGCTTTAAAAATATATATATATATATATATATATATATATATATATATATATATATATATATATCAACTCATTTTTGATTGAAGTATAAAATATGTACAGGGGAGAAAAAAGGTGTATCAATCATGAGTGTGGTGGGATTTTATCGAGAAACACTAGGGCTGAGGAGGTATGCAGTTTGGTGGTAGAGCAAGCACTTAGCATGCAAAAACGTTTAAGGCCAACCACTCAAAAAGAGAACCTGTTTGCCACCCAGACTGAAAACAGCGCACAGTAGCCACAGTGAACCAGCACACTGACACCTCACAAACCTAGCTGATCATTAAATCTGTCAGTTTGACTACCTGTATGTGGGTTCACACTGTTTTTGTCTACAGAGTGAGTTCCAGGGCAACCAGGGACTCAAAACCAAAACAAAAGAATGGGGCTGTATTAAGGCCGTCAAAGGCGTATCCGATTGCCTGTTCCCAGAATCACCTTTGGATTCTACAAGTGACTTACATTAAATAAATGAGCCTATAAAATAGAATCCATAGAGAGGCCAAATGGCAGGTTTTTAATCTTAAAGGCTAGTAAAATTGAGAAATGTATGTAGAACAATTAATTTTTAATTGGGTTGACAGTGCAAGATGGTTGAAAAGGGTTATATAAAATAATCCCCCAGAAAATTCTGGGCACCATAGAAAACCATTGGCCACAGAGAAGACACTGTGTAGCCACCCACTGTAGCGGTGTGAGCTAGCCTCATGACATGCTCACAGTTAAAGTGGCCGAGCCTCAACTGCCAATCACCTTCAAATCTGCTACGACGGTGATCTTGGTTGTCAATTTAGTTCCATCTTGAATATACCAAGAGATGTGGGCAGGTGTGCAATTAGCCGGGAAGGGTAAACTGATGGGATCCCGGCCCCCAGCACCCTCCAGCAGTAGGCCTTTATTACAGGAGGGCTGGCCAAGGGAAAGGCCACTACTCTTGCTTTCTTCATTCCCTGCTGGCATCTGCCCTCATAGTTCCCATGAAAGAACTCCCAGTTCCTCCTGTCTCCCTAACACGGGTTTAAATCCCACAAGGATGCTGGGCAGTGGTGCCACACACCTTTAATCCCAGCACTTGGGAGGCAGAGGCAGGCGGATTTCTGAGTTTGAGGCCAGCCTGGTCTACAGAGTGAGCTCCAGGACAGCCAGGGCTACACAGAGAAACCCTGTCTTGAAAAACAAAGAAATAAATAAACCCCACAAGGAGATGTTTTCTATGCTTTGTTTTAGAGTGTGTGTGTGTGTGTATGTGTGTATGTGTGTGTGTGTGTGTGTGTGTGAGAGAGAGAGAGAGAGAGAGAGAGAGAGAGAGAGAGAGAGAGAGAG